TGTGTGTGTGTGTGTGTGTGTGTGTGTGTGTGTGTTAGCTGCTATGACTGAGGTGTGTAAAACACCAGCTCCAGCAGACACTGATGGGCTTAGTGGGAATCAGCAATGTGGAAACTGGCGTCTCAAAAATGATTCTCACATGGAGTCACACTTTCTGTCTGCGGTCTGCATCAGTTTTCCGGCTCGTTATTCCCCTTTTTCCATTTTTTTTTTTGGAAAGCAGAACAACAAACTTAATCATCAAAAAACGAAATAAATAAATAAATCTGTSCACTTCCTTCWGTACAACAATAGTTTCTCTTTTTGTTGTTTTATGGACAGTTTTATTTGTGACTCTTAAAAAAAACAGCTTGGATTGAATGAACTCGGTCTGTAAAAGCTTTTTTTTTTTGGATATGTCTTTCTTCAGTATCTCTTTTGCTGTCTTGTTTGCGCACAGTATAATCTGTTTTGTCTGTTAACTCAATTTCCAGTTAAAGAAAAAAGCAACGAAAAATGGAGAAGTTCATCACATTAAAAAAACCCTCCTTACACATCAGAAGGTCAGAAGCTGGTATCAGACACTGTTTATGTCATTTACAGCTCTGCTGGCCCCACTGCTGTGAAATAGTGTAGGTTAAACAAGAGCAGACGCATCACAACAAGCCATTTCTCTGCACATAAATCCTTCAAGAGAGTGTTGAATGAATTCCCATAAAGTATTTTTTATCAGACCAAGTCCACATGCCTGGTCGTACCATTTGAGAAAAGAAAACCTGGAYAGGGGGGTTTATTGAGGTGAAAAAAATAAAACAAGCACGCTTAAATAATGAAAACAAGGTGGCTGAAAGGGATAAAAGCTAACRATTCATAGAGAAGAGGCCCTGTTTTGATAGATATGAGTCTCATAAACTATGAGGTCTTTGTTGAGTMATAATAGAAAAATGGTAAAAAGGAAGCACAACAATGTCCCTGTTTTTCTTTCGCTTCTTCTCAAAGTTCAACGCTCCAAGCTGACATTGGAACTGTTTGGTTGGTCTCAGACAGATTTGCCTCCCTGTCATCTTGGAATGAGAYGAGCAGCCTCAGCAGCAGTGATCGGGCCTGCAGACTGAAGCAGCACAGACACACTGCTCCAAAGCTTTTGGCTTCGGGGCCTGATTTATACGGACTGTGATCAAGGCTGCAGGGCTCTGTCATCCTTCAGCGCCGCTGGTTGTCCTGGCTGACCTCAGGCTGAGCAGAAGAGGGAAAACGCCCTGTTTCTCTGTCCTTGCAGCCACCTAGCTACCTGGAACGGGGCGGCGGGGTGCTCCTATATTTATTTCCACACCCACCTCCTATTACAGCTACAGGCCAGACCGACGATGCTGTCCACCTGTAATGACGAGGTAACCTTCACGTTAGACATTGAGGTGCTCCAGTATGGAAACAGACAACATTAGGACGTTCAGCACAAACACCCCCAACACTATAGAGCATCTATCATCCCATGACAGGGGAGGGATGAAGAGGGTTGCAGTTTTAACAACCATTGAGGGCTTTCTGCTCTTGATAAGCAAGACACAAAGAGGAGGAAGTACACTGCAATGATGGGTCTATTTTTAGGTGATATTTGAAGGTGTTCATGTCAGGAAATACTCTTACTATTAGACAGCATTTATTATTAAACTGCCTAAATGCCCTCTAATGGCTGCAGAAAAAAAAACATTTTGCAAAGCATATTCGGCCTCTCCCATCAATCTAAAACCATCCTCTGACCTCCCAACTTCCTGACAGAGAGCAGATAAATACATGAACGCTCAGAAGGTTTGGGAGAAGTTTATCCATTTCCTGGTATAACAAAGTGAGACACGGGACGTCGTTGCCGCAACCTTTTGTTTGGCAGAGCATCAAAGCGGAGGGGGATTCGTGTCTGGGGAACAAATGCACAGTGGCGTGCTGGAAGCCCAAACACTTCAGGCGCTCAGAGGAAAAGGTGAGGCTTGTCCTTTCGACCTGGGCGAGCAGTCCAGAGAGACACCTTGAAAGCATCCCAGCATTGTCCTACAGCCTCACGGAACACTCAGCAGGCTGTTCCCTGCTCAACAGCACAGAACACAACACAGCATTATTATCAGGAACATCTACCGGTAATCTGGAAAAGCTAGTTKGGATAAAATATGTTCCACTTATTCKAATCTCCGTTTGCGCACAAATTTGTCAAATCTGCTGTTCATATGGCTGATCATATAGTTACACTTTTATGTATAGTTACAAAAATCACARTCATGACATGCAGTTAGAGACATAAAACATTAGCTACTTTCGACACACATGGAAATGCGATTTGAAGTGAGGATGAGAAAGACATATACTGTATGTGCGTGTGTAAATTCTTCTGTACAAAAATAAATAAGAAGAGAAAGTATATAAATGGCTCATGGTGTAATGTAACAAATCTTATGATCCCTGCTCCGATGGTTGCTCAGTCCAAGAACAACATCATCCGAAGATTAATCCTCTAAAAACATCAGACTTCCTTTACAGGCTGCACTTGGTTTGACTTGGACTTATTAAACCATTAACGTGAATTTATTCTCCCCCTTAAACAGATATGCAGTTTAACATAAATGCAGTTGCTTCACTCCACTGTTAAAGTTTATAGTTTGTTAAAGCTTTGCAATGCTTTAACTCAACTGTTAAGACCTGTGTAGATTGTTTTAAAAAAAGGATGGTTTGACTATTTTGATGTGAAGTTCTGTGGAAAGGTTATGAATAATAAATACAGTATCTTAACTGTTGTAGATTGGAGTGTTTAGAGTGAAATTCTGTAAATTATGGTAAATAAGAATAATTTCAAAATTAAATTAGAAGTTTTAAATGAAATAGGATAAAAATTCATTTCTTTAGATTGAAAGACTTAAAAGAATTTTTAATTTGTTTACTAGAAACAGTAAAGAATTCTCGGCTGTGAAGTTTACAGTTTCAAAATAAAATAATACAATATTATGTTCTACACTGCTATCATGCTTTTATTTTTTCCCTTTTCACAATAAAATTCTGGCAACCACAGCTGACGGTAGTTTACCGTAAATTTCCCATTTTTCTACGCTGCATTTCAAAAGCTTTAGTTTGGAGAATAAATTTTAGAAGAAATGCCTGATACTCACTCACTCACTCACTCAGTCACTCACTCACTCAGTCACTCACTCACTCACTCACTCACTCACTCACTCACTCACTCACTCAC